CTAATCATGCCGCTGGGCGACTCCGGGGGTGGTTGGGCTGATGAGCAGGGGAAGGGCGATCTATTTTGTTCTTCCCTCACGTTTGCTTGGGGTTTGCTGCTGATGTTCTTTTGCTGGCTGGGAGAATTGGTGACTGTTGCTGTACACAGTATCTGTTCTGAGCGCTGGACCAGGGCGATGGTTGGAAATGAGGTGTTCGCCTTGTCTGACTCTCTCCTCTCCTCGTGTGATTGTTAAGCGGCGGGTTAGCAGATGGCACAGCGTGGAGATGCTCTGATCGTGCAAGACCCGTGAAGGAAGATGGATTCGGTACTGGAGAGCAGAAGATGGGATCGAGAGCAAACGGTGAATGACCGAGTTGAGAGTGAAAAGTCGCGAATTTTGGATTAGTAGCCTGCACACTGCTGACTCCAGGCTGAGGCGCCGCAAGCTGAGTTCATGTTCAAATCGACGCCGGCATGCCGCCAAGGTCCAGTGCCTCCAGCTGCTGGTACTGTAACCTTAAGGCAATTGCCGGAACAACCCCCCAACCCCTGTGGCCCTGGTGCCATTTGCGAGGGCTTCTAGGGGGTCTCTTCCAGCAGCAGTTACAGCGTAGGCTCCCTTTGTCTCGGAGCCTGTACAATACGAGCAGCCTCACCTTGATCTCACATCAGGACAGGCAGCCAACCAGCGCTCCCTTACATACACGCTCATGTATGCGCATGTACTCCATGCCTTACATACAGCACCAGCATCGACAACAACCCAAAAGCGACAGAAGCCAAACCCCGTCCACTTCCCAAGATGGGCCTCCAGATATCCCAGACAGATCTCCCAGATACGCATCCGCCCATTCAGGAGCCCTCCCAGCAGAATACACCCCTGACTAGCCATGCGAGCGAGCCACCAAATAAGCCCTCCCCCCCCCCTGACGCGGAACATGCTGTTCTGGCTGCATGGCAAAAAAAGAAGAGCCCTATCGCGAGATAAGGCGTCGCGCCCATTGGCTCCAGCATCCGTCCGCTAATACGGAGGATACTTTCTTTACCTTGTGGTGATGATGAAGAAGAGGACCTCGATCGAAACCCGTTCGCAGAAACCCGTAGTAAAAGTACTTCCAGCCCAGCCAGCCAAAAAAGCACCCCTGAAACACACAATACACACGTACAGAAGCCGGAAGAAGAAGTGAGGGAGAGACCTTTGATCGTTCATTCAGCTCCAGCTCACTTCCATTTCCGTAACTTCTGTCGCCATTTTCCTGAGGCGGCTCTTCTCCGGGAGACTGTGTGGCTCCCTTTCCATTGTCACGCATCCAATTGTTTCAACGGCATTCTTTCCTGGCCGCCCTCTTGTACGTCAACATCAACACCTCCCTCTTCTCTCAGCTTTTCTTCCATCCCGACTTCATCGGCTTCCACCATCTCTCTCTACTCGTCGTTCAACGCGTCCAATTGACTTGATCAAGCGTTGTACCGCCATCGTCTGTTTACTCGCTATCCAACATGTCACTCCCTACCACCAGCAAACCGCGCCCCCAAACGCTAACTCCTCCTCCTCCTCCTCCTCCTCCTCCTCCTCCGCCACCGACACCACAACTATCGCTAACAACAACAACAAACGAACTACCGCCGCCTCGCATAACACCACCAAACCGAACCTTCTTCCTAGCCTACCTGTAGACGCTAC